CCCTGAGACAGCCTGAAACCACCCTAAAACAGCCTGAGACAGCCTGAAATCACCCTAAAACAGCCTGAAACCATCCTGAAACCACCCTGAGACAGACTGAGACAGCCTGAAACCATCCTGAAACCACCCTAAAACAGCCTGAGACAGCCTGAGACAGCCTGAAATCACCCTAAAACAGCCTGAAACCATCCTGAAACCACCCTGAGACAGCCTGAGACAGCCTGAAACCACCCTAAAACAGCATGAGATACCCTGAAACCACCCTGAGACAGCCTGAGACAGCCTGAAATCACCCTAAAACAGCCTGAGATACCCTGAAACCACCCTAAAACAGCCTGAGACAGCCTGAGACAGCCTGAAATCACCCTAAAACAGCCTGAAATCACCCTAAAACAGCCTGAAACCATCCTGAAACCACCCTGAGACAGCCTAAAACAGCATGAAACCATCCTGAAACCACCCTGAGACAGCCTGAAACAGCCTGAAACCATCCTGAAACCAACCCTGAGACACCCTGAAACAGCCTGAGACAGCCTGAGACAGCCTGAAACAGCCTGAGACACCCTGAAACCATCCTAAAACAGCCTGCACACACCCTGAAACCACCCTAAAACACCCAGAAACTGACCCTGCAACAGCCTGCACACACCCTACAACAGCCTGAAACCACCATGCAACACCCTGAAAACACCCTACAACACCCTGCACAAACCCTGCAAACACCCTGCACCCATCCTGAGCCCCAGAAACCACCCTACAACAGTCTGCAAACAACCCTGCACCCATCCTGACCCACCTTCACCCCAGAACCCACCCTACAACTCCCTGCACACACCCTGCAAACACCCTGCACCTATCCTGGCCCCCCTACACCCCAGAACCCACCCTACAACTCCCTGCACACACCCTGCACCCCAGAACCCACCCTAGAACTCCCTGCACACACCCTGCACACACCCTGCACCCCAGAACCCACCCTACAACTCCCTGCACACACCCTGCACCCATCCTGACCCCCCTGCACCTATCCTGCACCCCCTGCACCTCCAGCACTGCTTTCACCCCTCCTGCACCCACCCTGCTCCTCTGCTGCCATCCTGGACCCACCCTAGACCCATCCCGCACCCTCCCCCCACCCCGGGCACCTCATCCCATCTCTGCAAACCCCACCCGACCATCCTCAAGACCCCTGCAGGACCCTTCACCCCCTCTGTGCCCCCGAACGCCCCTGAACCCCTCGATGCCTGGAGCACCCAAGGCTCCTCCATCCCCAGGGAGGGACTGGCACGGCCCCTGTACCCCGAATCCCTGTGGGGTCCCCACACCTCCCTCCAGCATTCGGGGGTACACCCCAGCTGGCAGCAGAGGTTGGGGTGACCGTTCAGCCTTTGCAAGGATGTGAAAGCTTTTGCTTGCCTCGGCTTTAGGCAGCACAGCCTCGGCCCCAGCATCAGCCCTGGGGGCGCCTCTCCTGCGGGTAGGGAAGGAGGAATGCCGGGGGGCCCTTGGGGTGCCATTGCCGGCCTCTTGCCGAGGCTGGGCCGGCTGGGCACCTGCTGGAGCCGCCCCAACAACCCGGGGAGCCCATGGGGTTCCCTCTGCTGTGGGGCGGCTGGACCCGGGCAGCGTCACCTGGAAGCGAGGGGGATGCTCCTGCTGCAGCAAAGCTCACACCGCCGGATCCTGCGTGGTTTTTGGGATGCCGTGGGGTCTCACCTGCAGTGGGACCGAGCAGGACCCCACTGCCCCGGGGGATAAGACCTGGGTCCAGCCGCCTTTCTGTGGGGATGGGGGATGTCAGCCTGCCTGGCATCCCTGGTGCTGGGGGACCCTCGGGGTGACCCCACTGCCACCCCAGCTGCGTGCCCCGTTCCCCTCTCGCAGTGGTTTGGTGCCCCAAAGCCTCATCCCGTCCCTGCCCGCTCTCCCCTGCCTGATGACAAGACTAAAACGAATGGCCCCGGCGTCCCTCTTTGTCTCCCTGCCTCCTGCCTAATTAATTGAGATCCACCTTAATAGGATCAAGCCAAATACCGGGGAACATCCAACCACACAGCAGCTGGCAGGAAAACAAGCGGCAAAGCGAAGGGAAAGGCAGCTCCTCAGCCCCTCGCCGGACAAAAGAGCCGCTAATGCAGCAGCAATTGGTGCTGCCAGGGCTGAGAGCTTCACCCCACAACCTGTTCACCGCTCAGCCCCATCGCAAGAACCTCGCTGGGCCGGTTCCAGCCAGTGGCAGGGATTTGAATCTTGTGCAATAAATCTCAGGGCAGGCACTAGGCTGGGGACAAAGTTACTCCTGGTTTATCTCGGCCTGGGGGCAGGCAGGAGATGTGGGGTCACAGTGCCAGACCCCCAGCCAGGGGGTGGCTGAGGGCTCAGGACTCCTGGGACATTTCCTACCTCCCACAGCATTTTGTGGGGTCCAGCGATGGGGGTGACATGGCTGTCCCCATCCTCCTGGGCGGGGACACAGGTGGGGTGTCCCTCTGCGTGTCCCTGGCCAGAGGAACGGGGCGAGCCCCAGCCTGACACCCAGAGCTCTGACACCGGGGCTGGTGTGGATGCTGCTGGGGGACTGAGGGGCACTGGCTGCTCGTGTTGCTGGGGGCTGCAGGGCTCCTCCAGCCTTGCAGGGCCACTGTGGGTCCGTGGCTTTGGATGTCACTGGGCTGCTTTTGGTGGCAGTCCCTTCAGCAGCGTGCCAAGGAAAGAGATGCTCCGTGCCTTTGTGGCATCACCAGCCCCAGCAGCGCCCTGCCAGTGCCACATCCACCTCCAGCTGATTTCTCCAGAGCAAACAGATGGGTTAATTTTTTTTAAAAAAGAGAAAATAATATAATGCAGCTCATTTGGGCTGCTTTGGATGTTTTTTTCCTGTTCCTGAAGCAAGGACCCTTCTGCTGTTGTTGTTTTGGCTGTTTCTCAAGAGCTTCCCATCCCTGGATCCTGTGGCTGCTTTCCCAGGATTGGAGAGGGCGTGTGAGGAGAACAGTGCTGGGGAGGTTGCAGGGGTGGGGGGGCTGCTCCCACCCTGGCTGCCCCCAGCCAGATATGACCCCCAACATGAAATCCCTGTGGGAAAATTTGGACCATCTCCTCACAGGGACGCTTTGGAGGAAGAAAATCCTCCAAGTGCTGAGCCAACCCCTTCTCACAGCCACAGGGCTTGGTGGCTGCCGACTTCTTCATCGAGCTGAGGGCAAGGGAAAAGAAAATCACCCCTATTTTTTTTTTTTTTCTTAATATTTAAAATGAGATGGTGAAATTTGCACAGGATCCTGGTGTGAGGAAGGAATGCTGCAGCCCTGAGGTGCTCCCCAAACCCCTGGGTATGCAGGGATTAGTGAGGCTGTTCTGTGGGAACTGGCTGCCTCCATGGGGTCGTTTTTAGGGTGAAGCATTCTAAAGATCATTACAGCAACCAGATGGGAGAAAAATCTTGTTGGTGTGAGAAAGAAGCAAAGGAAACACAAGGAGTCCTTAGGTGTATCTCATCTCTCCAAAAAAACAAGGATGTAATTAAATATTTGATTCTTCCCCACACCTGAGGAGTGACTTTATTCACATTTGCAGAATTTGGGGCTCCCATTGCAGGGCGATTCATGTTCATATTCATACATTTTCATAGAGGGGGGAACAGGTCCTATCCAGCAGAGCCAGGACTTGTCCCCCGCCTCCCCAGCTGGGCAGGTCTCAGTGGGATGAGGCTCCATCAAAGCCAAGTTTGCAGGATGCAGCACTGGTGGACCTTCACAGCTCTAAGGAAATCTTCCTTTGTCACCAAAACGTCCCTTGCTCTGGTTTTAACTGGTAGCAGAAGCTCATTTTGGAGTGGAACTGGACAAATTTTAGAGGCTGTTAATGGAATCACCGCCACTGGGATGTGGTCCACGAGTCTGGCATCCATGGGTTCAGGGCTGGGCCCCCTTTTCTTGTTCCACACCACCAGTTGTCTCTGCTTGAAGTCAAAACCTGCTTTAAACACCCTCCAAAATTTTCCTGGCTTTTGCAAAAGAGCCCCTTGTAGGATCAGAGGGGCAGGAGATGGGGCTCCCTGGGGTGCCTGCTCCTCTCGGGGTGCCCACGGGATGGTTGTGGGTGGGTGTCACTGCTGGGGATCAGGGATCAGGATCGCAGGGGACGAGCCGTGACCAGCACAGCAGCACCTAGCCCTGCTGCAGGGTCCGGGCTGGGGAGGCCCCCAAGGGCTCCACAGCCCGTCTGAGAGCCGGAGCTGCCCACCCCCAGCTACAGCCCTGTCCCCACCCATCCACCATCCTGTCCCCGCCGTGCCACCCGGGGCGACAACCCTGTCCCCTACAACAGCCCCGTCACAGGGCGACAGCTCTGCCCACCCCGTGCCATCCGTGCCGGTGACAGCCCCGTGTCCCCCGTGCCACCCGTGGCGTGACAGCCCCGTGGGGGGCAGCCCGGCAGCCTCCTCCCGGCTGATGCGCAGTGACATTTGCAATCTGTTGCCATGGGCGCTCGGGGACTTT